TGAGGCCTATTACCTCGAAAACCTGCACGGGAAAGAACTTGCTCGACCATGGAACACTGAAAAACTCAAGCAATACTACAGTTAGACACTGCCCACGAACCACTAGTGTCGCGACCACAAGGGGCACAATATGGTACAGGCGCGACTCCAAAATTTAAAACAAAAAGAAAAGAGTTTGTCCTTTGTGTGTGCAAGCAGACTTTTAATCCGACAGGGACCCCTCAATCGAGCTCCATCGTTGTCATACCAGTAAGGCAGGACGCCTAGCTCGCGATAGGAAGTTCACGCCGCGAGGCAAAGACCTCGGTTGAGGTCTTAACTCCTTCATCGATCGAACACCAACTATGATCACCTAACCAGTTCCCTACATGTTTGGTCACAAGATATGTCGAGCAAAACCCCGAAAACAACCATACAACGCGTATTAGTTCATACACATGAAAAACAAGGAAAATATAGCGCGCACACAACATAAAAGAAGAATATTGCATTTCCAAAGTGCGGGCAGATCCCATTGTTCGAAGGTTACAAAACATGGGGCGCAGGCTAGAAACAACTGCAATAAAACATGGTGCGCAGGCCAGAAACAACTACATCAAAATATGGCGCACAAGCCAGAAAATAAAAATACAATAAAAAAGCACTAAACAGCTATGGTCGCCCACTATAGCTCTGTCGTCATCTCCCTCTTCATCTTCTGGCACGACCGCACAACCCTGGACCACCTGATGATAAGGGGATATCCCCTCGGTGATGATCTGGACGTCAGGATTCACGATCTGGAGTTGTTCCATAGCACAGTAGAAACCCACCTCGAGAGCCCCTAGACAATCCAGCTCGAGCTCCCGGATCTTCGACACCAGATCAGCCCGAGACACCATGAGCCTCTCCTCGGCAGACTCATCCTTGGAAGGCTTATCTTTGGTCTCTAGATCGGCCACCTTGGTCTGCAGTCGACCCTGTTCCTCCTTTACCTCCTTCAGCTCCTCCCTAATTTTGTTCATCTCATGGAGGAGGCGCATGTGGTTCATACCTCGTCTGGGCCTCCTGCAGGAAGCTCTCCTCCTTGTTTTTCTCTACCTTAAGGATGGCGTTCTCGTCTCGTAGCTTCTTCAGCTCGAAGGTAGGACTGGTTTCATCGTAAAGGACCAGGGTCGTCGCAAAGATCCTCATCATGGTGGCCATGTCCTCGGTCAGCATTTTTCTTCGGGCCGCCCGATCAATCCTCATGATCACCTTGGTTTCTGCCTCGACCGCCGTCGGGGAATGGTCCCCAGAGAAGATGTCATGTTGGATAGGGCAAGGAGGTAGCGCAAACTTCTTAGCGGCCACACTCTCCTCGAGGCCGACTACCAAAGGTCCCTCGGCGTGCCGCTTTTTCGACGAGGTATCTTGCGTAGAAGGAGACTGGCTGCATTGAGGAGAGAAAGAACCATTGACTCCCTAGTCGAACCTCACCATCTACTAGGCTTGGGAGACTCTGCTTTTTCCTTTCTTCCAGCCCTTTGTTGATGTGAGCTTCAGTATGCGTTCATGCGCGTTCGATATCTGGCCTACAACAATGAGCAAGGAAAAACATGTCAGTAACAAGAAAAAAAGGGCAGGTACCCCACCAAAGAAAAGATTTGTTACCTAAAAACCTTAAGGCCTCCTCGCAATACCTGCACTCAAGGAGAGCCTTGGTGTTAATCAGTCGAGCCTAGTGACAAATCTCCCTGCTCCCGTCGAGGATGAAATTCCCGTCCTTTTAGACACACTTGGCGGGAGTGAAGCCGGAGACAAAATCGACCATCTTTTGGTAAGACAATCGGTCGTCAGCATCCAGGTCGACATGCTTCCGATATAGTTGACTGTGCCCTGGTCGAAGTGGTGCTCGACCCACTCGAGTGGAAATTTTGACACCAAGGTCTCCTCGTGCTCCCCATTCTCCTCTGTGACCACAAGTTCATACAAAGAGTCAATGGCCGCGTGCGGCACGGGCTTCACAATATAAAACATGTCCTTGAAGGTGCGGACAAAAACTTGGTACGCTCGGAACAACTTCCTTGGTTGCTTCAAGGATACCCAACTGTGTCTACCTTCGAAGGATTGACGCTGAAGATGGAAGGTGCGGAAGAATAGGGGAAGTGTGGCCCCAATACAAAGATACTCGCAGACGAGTTCAAATGCCCGCACGAACGGTATGGCATTTTGGTGCATTTGAGAAGGTGTCAAGCGGAGCCACAGGAACACTCCCCCTGAAAATCGATGAAGGGGAGACGGATCCCTGCTTCACGAAACGCAAATTCATACATAGAGAACCTCATCTCCCTGAAACTCGAGCAGATGTGGTGTTTTTCCTTGGGTTTATAGACCATCCAACTCGCGGAGGAACCTTCTAGACGGTCCTCGACAGTGGAAAAAGCGTTCGTGTCATCAAAGGTGAAACACGACGCTATAGTAAGAGGCTCCTGCTCGTCCCAGTCTGTGGGTGTACGAATGGGTTCAGCTCCTTCGACCTCGATGGGAGTGTCGGGCTCAGACTCGTCCTCAATATGGATGACGTCCTCAATCTTGACAACCATTTTACTTGAAAAGAAAAGGAAAACGGTGAATTCGACTTCAAAGATCAAATCCACCCTTCCACCGCAAATCAAGTGAAAGGGCGAAGGGAGGGACAAGAAGCCCAAAACAATGGGCCCCTTCCCCTTTCGGAGGCTCATCCTATGTGAAACCTCCTCGCGATGGCCGCACATTTATGAGGAGCAAGGCTCCCCGAAGCGTTCATCCTAGCTCCCAGAGACCTTCATCACAGGTCCCTGGGGCATTCATCGGCAACTTCATGAAGATCCCAGAATCTTCATGAACTTCCCGACGTCCTCGCCAGAAACTTCATAAGACAGGTCGGGAAATTCATAACTTTCCCGAAAACTTTATGAGAGTTGCCGGAAAACTCACAACACTACATAAAGGAAACAAAAACTTACTTGTAGGGGGAGGATCTGGACAACGGAGAGTGGTGACAGAAAAGGAGACGGCGGTGGCGACAGCAAGAAGAGCTTGGAGAGGATTTCGGTAAATATGAAGGAGAAATGTGCAAATGAGAGGAACGTTCCCTCTATTTATAAGCCTGGCACGGGAAGTGAGACAACAATAGGCACTCAAGTGCCCCTACGCGTAGCCGCCCTAGGCATTAATTACGCGTGACATGTGGCGCTAGGGGACACCACGCGCGTCCCCTCGGCTTCACATCGTACTCAGAGATCAGGCACGCCCGTTCACTTTCCATCTCCCTGCGGCATACTATCTTGTCGAACATCTATCACTCCTGGCCGCGTGCACAACCCGACTCTGCATGCCAGACAAGCTGCTTGTCCTCCAAACTGGTCCTCGACACCCTAACTTACTCTTAAGTCATTACTCCTCCACTTATGAGCAACGACTTAGGAGGCTCTTATTCTGGACTAGGTCGAGACCTGCCTCTCAATCGGGCAGACCCAATCCAATACTATGTTAGAGAGGCCCAACAAGGCTCAATCCTCCCATGTCGGGCACGCGTCTCAACAAGACCCCTTAGTCGGCAGACCGTAGCACAGGGAGAGCTCATGCGTCCCCCCCGTGTTCCCCACGCGGGACACGTCATCAGGAAACTACCTACTTTCGAAAGAGTTGGTCAGCCCACCCTCTGAAGATCACGGGACATTTGATCCAAGACGAAGACCACGTGTCGGTCTTCCCTACGCCACGTAAGCCCTGATAGTTACTCATATCGGGCCTTGCAATCCAGTCCAATACAAAGTAATTGTTGGCCCTACGCTGGAGACACATTATAAATACCCTCTTTCACTAGAGAGTCGGGTATTTCATTCTACACACCTAGTCTCTTTGTACTTGCTTTGCTAAACTTCGTTACTCACTTAGACATCGGAGTACCTTGCAGATACACCCCCTTCTCCTCTTCAACACCGGTGAATACAGGAATTCACGACACGTAGCAGGCCGCTGATTCATTTCTGATCAGGTAAGATTGAAAACATTCAAGTTTTCAATAAGATGTCAATACTTAAAACTGTGATACAGATCAAGGGGTCTCAAACCAATAAGTTGCTTGAAAAGAATCAAAATAAAAAATATTTCGTTAATCATACAAATGAAGATTTGGTAAGAAGAAAAGATTAGAATTCAAGTTTAAGTTAATTCAATTTTATAAAACCTTATAAACATTTGTAGGTGAATCAAGTCGGACAAAATTACTCGAACCATTATTCAGATTTTGCCTAATCCAATATATCATTCTTAAGCCAAGACGAAATCACTTAGCATCTCTAACTCTTAACAGTGATATGAAAAACTAGTCCCCCTGTTTGATTGTACTTTAATTTTATTTTTTTGAAGTATAATGTTTTAATTTATTTTCCAGCTTTTGTAAGACAATTTTACAAAATATATGTTAATCAAATATGTTTTTCAGCTTAAATTTATTCAAAACGTTAAATCAGATACAGAATACGAGAATGATGATAGAAGAACGAGACATGATACATAGGATATCACTTGTACTAACTAAAAGTTGAATCAATTAAGTGGCTTAACATAACTTCACTCAACTTAACAACCAAAACGTGATTTTTATTTTATACAACATCAAAATGTCAGAATTTTCCTCTCAATCCAGATTTTAACTTTATCAAAATCTTTTTTACTTCTAAACTACTATTAAATCCAGATCCGACTGACATTGAACCTTTTTTATTAAAACTGATAAATGTCGATCATAGAATCATATTCACTTACTAAAAAAATAAAGGAACTTAATTTGAAGAAAGAAAATATAATGGAGAACTAATTCATACAAATCCAAACTAGAGAGTAACAAAAAAGTGCAATTAAACATGAAATGATCACGATTTTGAACATGACTTAGTCAACATAAGCAAGGCGAACACCTGTGTGACTGTAAACTGAAAGACCAATAAGGTGTGTGTTTTCCGTTAATGTGCACCAGAAACATAAAATACAAATCACTTCCATAACTTCCTCAATGACATGTTTTTCTCTGTCTCCTTCTTCATCACCTTGGCCACAGCCATCTCAAAATCCTCCTGTGTCACATGCACCCTCCTCTCCCTCAAAGCAAACATTCCAGCTTCAGTGCATACAGCCTACATAAGAACATCGAACATCCAAAATTGAATATCAACTTGGTTAGTACACACTTCAAATAAAACGGCTTATATTATGAATGCTAAAAATAATTACTCTACATTCTCTTTAGCATGAATACTAAATATTAAAGCTATTCACTTTTTACCATTGCCATGATTCATGAACTATTTCATACAATTTTCCATATTAATTCTTCAATGACACCGTCAATTCTATCTGGATTACAAGATTTGTGGTATGCCATCATCAAATTGTAATTAAATTTCCTCACTTTTTCATAAGTATACACATGTGTCAACATCAACTCAGTTAGTTAGCTTTCTAATATTATTTCTTGTCTTGTTCAAAAAACTCAGTCACAGTACAAGTTTTTTTTCCAGCATCCTCCCTGGTGTGTGTAATGCTATATTGTTTGGTGGATCATTATTATGTGCAGTATATATACATTTGTGAGACATATAAGCCGTGTTGAACATGTCCATACACCAATTACATTGTTTAATAGGATTATAATATGATTATATCAGACTCAAGATGCAGATTCCATTTGATCAACTCACTCAACTATTAGTTTATAAGCATATAATAGTTCTCAAGGGTGGACCAAAGCTATGGGGGATTGAGAAATACACTATTAATACATCATATTCTAGGAAGTGAGTATAAACAATAGTAATTTCTTCAAGGATTCATGAACTTTAATTAACTCTGAACATGTGTGTGCGTGTATGTAAAGTGAAATAGCGTGTACTTTAAAGCAACAAATGCACTTTGTCTTAAATAGCCTTCCTAGTTTCTTGTTTAAAAAAAATCCTTGGTAGTTTCTTTCCTAAAAAGTTTGTGTGATAGAAAATATGAAGTTGAAATGTGGGGGAAGGGAGCCACTACCCATGCCTGCCCTCCATATCATTCATCAGTAACCTGTTTCGTCATATTTTGATTATTTCCAATTCCATTTGGCTAATTCAATCTAATTTTGTGTGATACAGTAGCAACATATAGCCAAAGAGTTCTGAAACAGTGATTCAGAAGTTTGAAAAAACATACTAAAGGGCAAGCATTCGTTGCAAACCTTTAAGCACCAAAAACATTATTCAGAATAAAAAAGTAAAAACAAAACCTTATCATATTTTTGCTTTTCTTCCTTTGAAGCACTACCAACTTTTCCAATATGTCTTTTTTCTCTATCTTCTTTCTACTTCCTCTGTATTATTATTTGCTCCTCTTTCCCTTTACTATATTATTTTCTCCTCATTCTCTCTACTTCATCTATATTATTTATTAATATAATTAAAAGATAACCTTTTCTATTTTAAAATTTGTTTACGTTTCTTAAAATTCAAAAATAAATACAAGCATGCGTTGTACATCTTATTTCCAAAGCTTACACCCCTAGTGAAGCCAATCAAGATGGGAAATTGATTTGATTTAGCTCTCGCTAAATAAACAGACGAATGTTTCAGTTAATTTCAAACTGAAACATACATTATTTGCATAGGAAGATTATCAAAGAAATAGGCAAACTCCAACAACTCAATAGGTTATATTAATTGGACCATCTGCATTTTCCCTCATTAGTTTATAGCATATGACCTTGTTTATTTAACTATTTGTTGATTTATACGAGAAATATGACCCATTTATTTTGGTAGATTAATGCAATGTTAACCCTTGTCTATTTATATTGGCCCCTTCATGATTACGAGTTTCAATTTTTATGAGGGGAAAATGCTTGATGATGGGGTCTCAGATTCACAGCCAAAACAATACTCTTCAGTTTGATAGTGAGATAAGGGGATAACTTGAGAGACAGCACGTTCTAAGCAAAACGTGTCTTGATTCTCCCGGAATAGTGGTAAACAAAAAAATCAAAAAAGGAAAGCTCATGTGACCTAATAAAGGGATGGTTATGATCCTTTAGATATTAAATGAAATAGAAGGATAGGATTTGGTGTCAATTAATTTTGACACCAGGTGTCACTTGATCCTTTATTTAAGACGGCTTGCCAATGACCCAGCCACCCTCAATCACAGTGAAGTGTAAATCACTGTAAAATCCATCCTTCAAGATGACAAAGTTAGCCAATCACCCAGTCAGACTTGCAACTTTCACCATCCATGTTTAATTCCTCGTATTATCCAACCATCCCATCATTAACCATCTTCTCCCAACTGTTTTGACCCAAAAAAATGAAAAGGGGGTTTTCTTGAAGCCTCCCCACCCCACACCGATCTGTCTCAACCACAAGTATGTAGTGAGTGTTCATTCCTAGGTATCTGCCGCTTTTGAGTCCCGTGCTGCTTTCTCTTTTGCAGTTTTTTATTTGCTCATCACACTCAAATGAACTGAACTATATCACCCAGTTTTATATTTCTTACTATCAAAACACTTCATTTAACTCATGACATGAGATAATATCTTGGACAATAACACAACACATTAATGTTGGTTAAAACCGTTAGTTCTGTTTTATATTGTAAAATTTCTCTGAAACCTTACTCATCAAACAAAGTGAATGATTATATGTTGCATGTTGAGAATACTAAAGGAAAGTGAAAGGCAGCCATTATATCAATAAGTGCAAACAGAGAAATGCTTTACCACAAATAATTGCTCCAACGGAGTAAAAGACCTTCTTTAGATGATAATAGAGCAGCAGGCGAAAAAAATGTAGAGCTAATTAAGAACATACCTTTAACTCAGCACCAGATGCTCCATTCATCTTCTCAGCAATCTTCTTCAAGTCAATCCCACGCATTAAATTCATTCTTCTTGAATGGATTTTCAAGATATCCCGACGAGACTGCATGATTATAAATACAGTCGGTCATTTTCAGTAATTGTCAAGTATGTCAAAGGTGTATCTTCTTTCTTTGTACAATCATATCAAAGGGCAACACGAAGACAAAGATGCAAACCTCTTCATTAGGGTTTGGAAATTCAATCTTTCGGTCAATCCGTCCAGGTCTCAAGAGTGCTTGATCTAGGATATCAATCCGATTGGTGGCCATCAAAACCTATAATTGCAACTTTCTCTTCAGAATTTCCTCTAAATTGAGAACATATAACTCAAATGATTCAGATAGAACTAATAATACATGTCCATCAGTTAAGATTTATATTTACTGCAAAACACACTGCCAGTTTTTGAATTCCCTCTAATAAACTAACTATCATTATAAAACAAATAACCTTGATCTTATTTGAAGCTTCAAATCCATCCAACTGATTTAGAAGTTCCAACATAGTACGCTGCACCTCACTATCACCATTTCCACTTCCAGATTCCATTCGGGCTGATCCAATACTGTCAATTTCGTCCATGAAGATAATTGATGGAGCATGCTCCCTGTGAAAAAAGGCAAAGCATTACATCAAAATTCATAATATTATTTGTTAAACAAGCCTTCAGATTGCATATTCCGTCCTTGTACATTAGCAGGGCAAGGAAACTTGTGAGGCCTAGTTTTTTAGAGGATAAAAATGTCCATTTAATATTTTTTGAGGCCAGTGAGTGGAAATAGTAAAAAAAAAAGGAACATACAAAATAGGCACACTGAATTACAGTCATATCGTTTATACAATTTCAGATTTAAAATTCGAAAACTCATTTACTACAGACAATGTAGGCAAGATCGAGTGATGGGCTATATTTTTGTTGGGCCTTTCTAACGGGGTCGAATTTTTATTTAAAAATAGGTTTACTTAAAATGAAAATCTTAGTTCTCATCCTCTAACCCTAAAACACGAATGACTCCTCCTTCTCCCTTTCTCTGCAATTTCAACGCTCCTCTTCCCCATTTTTCTCTTCAACTTCAACGCTCCCCTTCCCCATTTTTCTCTTCAACTTCAACATTTCGTCCTTCCCCCTTTGTTATCGTCACCTCCAACTCTCCAGTTTACCCCCCTCTCTTCACGCATCATCCGTACCTCCCTCCTCTGTAATGTCATCCTTCATCCCTGCTTTTGTCTTGTCGTCCTCTCCCTGCAACTACCCGTTTCATCTTTTATTTCTAGAAAATCTCTGCAATGCAATGGCTTCAAATAGAGGGTCACAAAGAGTTCTATTAACTTAAGGAAGGATGGTTGAGTTATAAACTAAATTGGTTAAATGTTGTGATTTATAGGTTATTTTGTTCGTGTAATATAGTTTTATACTTGTGTCTGACTATGAGTGAAATTACAATTATACCCTTCGGTGGGATCTTATGTGCCATGCTACAATCCTTGTTTTACAATTTCTCTCGGCCTTCCAATCCTACTTAAGATCTCATGTTTGACTATGTTGACTGCATATCTAAATTCATCCTAGGTTAGGTTTACTTGTGCTCAACAAATATATCTTCAGCCATAAAGGTCATGGAAATCAAGACATATTTTCTCCCTATTACTTTTGCTGTGAGGGACAAACAGTGAGTGGGTGAAGTTGAGTAAAGAGGTCAAACCTGGCCATAACGAAAAGTTCCCTGACCATTCTTGAACCTTCTCCAATGTATTTCTGAACTAGTTCAGAACCAGACACCCTGATGAATGTACAATCAGTATGATGTGCTACTGCCCTAGCCAACAATGTTTTCCCAGTACCAGGCGGCCCATACAGAAGGACACCCTGTGATATGTAAAAGAGCGTAAGCAAACAAAAATATTAGCAGCAACTATGCTGACAGAGGATGGAAAACTCAGCATAACTCAGGAAATTACCTTTGGTTGAGCTATTCCAAGACTTTCAAACAGCTCAGGATGTTTAATTGGAAGTTCAATGACCTGTAAATTTGATCACATTCATGAGACCAGAAAAGGGTAATGAGTTTTCAAATACTAGTACCAAAAGAATGTGCCATGGAACTTGCCTCTTTTATTTCTTTGATTTGCTGGTCTAAACCACCAATCATGTCATATGTAGAATCAGGAACCTTCTCAACTTTCATCAGATTGACCAATGGATCAACTTTGCTTGGAAGAACTAAATGAAGCACATAACTGTCATTGCGGAGAGCAACTCTGGTAGATGGAGTGATCTTCGTAATGTCAATATTTTTGTCGATATCAACAACATATTTCCCTTCCGGATGGACCTGAATAAAAGTAATGGCAAACTGAGTACTTTGTCCAGGACTTTTTGTTCTTGTTTTATTAATTTCACACACTAATTAATATTGTCTGCCATTGGATATAGTCATGAGTTTATGACTAACAAGAAAATGAAGAAAGGATATTAGTCACTATTAGAGTGATTTTACTAGTATAGAACTCTCATGAGCCATCCAAACTCTGATATTTTAGAAGAGAAATTTTCACTTCGCATTTAAGAAAGACTACAATGTATAATTCCAAATATAAACAAAAATATTTAGATTAATCAATAAGGGGATTAGAAGTGCAGAGCTGTAGATCATTAAATAGATGAAACACTAAAGCCAGTGGATAAGATGATGCATGTGTCCTTCAAATAGTACTCTGGTTGAGGTAAATGAAATATTTTCACAAGACCACGACAATTGATGATTCAAAACCCAGGCTCAAGCCTCAAACAACATTCAGACTCATTACCAGAGTGAGGTACAGATAATAGCAACAATGAATAATGAAGATAAAGACAGAGATATCAAGTCAAGCAGAGGATAATGATAGATTAATATATAGCAGTAAAGTGTCAGGACAAATTTTTTTATCCAAATTAGAAAGGAAAATTAGCTGACCTTGACCAACACTTTGTTCTTGCCCATAACTTTGACAACTTCACCAACATATGAGCCAGGCTCTTGAAGAAGCTGCAGTTCTTCGCGAAGCATCCTCACTGTCCAAATTGCAATTGAATCAGGGACACATCCAGAAATTTACTTTTTACGGTGTATAATCATTTGACAATGAGATTGAAAATGTATGAATAAAATAACTTCAATACACCATATGCTTGAAGGTGTATAAGTCATTATGTGTAAAGTGATATAGCACACAAGACCGCAACTGATTTTACAGCAAAGAAAGTGCATTGGTTCTTTAATAACCGTTCTAATAAGTTTGATGTAATATAAATTATAAATTCGAAAAGTAGAGGGAGGGCTGGCGTCTACCATGTATATTATATTACTTATTTGATAAATCAATAATATAATCAGCAATTTGATTTGATTATCATTATTCATCAATAACCTGATGTAAGTTATCAAAATCTGATCATTTGTGTTTAGGACTTCGAAAAACACTTCTCATAGGGCAACATTCCTTGCAAAACTATAGACTCCAATAACACAATCTCAAATAGAAAAATAAAAACAAATAAAACCTTATCCTTGTTTATCTTCTTTTTTTCATTGTGCCAATGTGTGTATATATAGTAATCATCCCCAAACCACTCCCCATGCTATCCACACGTCCACACTCAAATCCACATAAAGACGAGTGTTTGTCAATGACTAAGTCACCCTCACCACTGTGTACCGCTCTCGATTCCTCCTACATGATTGATCTGTAGCTAGCAGCCATGCTTGTAAAATTCCACATTACCCAACCATCCTCTAAACCATGATCTTCTCTTACCAATTGAATAATATAATAGTAGTAGAAACAAAAAAGCAGCTGATTGATAAATATAGGAACTAAAGAATGAAAAAGAGGATTAAAGTTACAAGTTAACGAACCCCTAGAATTGAGCTCGTTACGTTGAGCCTCAAGACGATTGAGATTATGGGTCTTCTGACGGAGAAGGAGCTGTAGCTCATGGATGTGCTGAGTATAGTACTGCCGAAGACCCTCGCCCTGCTTGGTTGGCTTGGCAGAGCAATGCTCCTCTGGTGCACCATCCGCACGCTTCACTTCAACTCCCACAGCAGCCATAGATCAAGCACTTCCCTCTGATGTAAAAAGCAATTTATTTCAAACACACAAAATGGTACAAAGTCATCAAAAGATGCACCCAAAAAGGGTCAGAAGAGAATAACAACAGTATATGTAATAGATTAAACATAGAAAACTATCTTTATCTTTGAAGCAAGTTATCTGAACTATTTCTGCAATTAATCTTTAAGAATCCAAAGCACATAGCATTCAAAATTTCCAATTCTAACCAACAAGCTTAGCTAACTCTTGATTAAAACAGCTAACAATCAGAGTTTGGAATCATACAAAACATTAATTTCCCCTCCCAATTCGAGACCCAATAATTTATAAAGATCTCTATTAACAACAAAATAGAAAAGTGTAAACTCTGAACCCTATACCTAAAACTCAGATTCAGAACCATAACCTAACAACCCTAATTTCTGTTTACCCCAAATTCCGAAAGAATCATACGGAAATAGAGAACCTACCTTTACAAATTCAGCGTAGATTCTTCTTCTTCTCTTCTTAGGTAGCGATGTGATTATGTTGATGCGAGCGTGAAAATGGAGTTCTCTTCTAAACAGTGGGGTGTCGTGATGAGAGGGCTAAGTATATGTCGGTATATGATTTGGTTATTAAGCTTCTTCCTATTCAAAAATATTAACGGGCTTTGCAATTGGGTACTAAAACTTTCTAAGCCCAACTATCCGCAGCACCCACTACTTATCAAATACTTTTATAGCTTTTAGCATTTAAGTTGTAGTTACACAATCTTAATAAACCTTTTAACTTGATTTCAAAATTATCATATTATCTTTTACTTAGTCCATAAACTATATTTATATTGAGCATTGAAAAAACAGTATAGAAAGATACTGGATAAAATATATCTATTATTATCAATCTATCAAGTTAATATATTATTATTCATATTTTTATTGAATTTTTAATATAAAAAAAAGGACAACTAAAGAATAACACGAAAGAAAAATGAGACTTTTATATGATCATCAAACAAGAATAAAGTTAAATAAGAATGAGGAGTTGGAAACTCGGTCAAACAAAACTCATCATTTTGACCAATATTTGCAATATGATATGCACATCAATCAGCTTCTCGGTAAATCTGTTTGATCTCACACTTCGAATATATTCAATCCATTAGAGACGGGGCTTCAAGGAGAATATGAAGCAAATGAATATTATGATTCTTTCAAGAACTAGTCATATTAGTCACGACAAGGGAACTCACATTTGACAAGCAAGAAAAATAACTCATACTACTCGTTGTTCTCTTAGAGTAATGAGACCCCCACAAGTTAAAAGTCATGTATTACTAAAGTAGGATCTGTTAATATTGAGCTTGAAAAAATAGTATGATGAGATTTTTATTTTTCATTAGTTTTATGTTTCCTTTGCTCAACATCAGATGATGGATGAAGGAAAAGATGTGGCAAAAGTAGCAATTTGTTATTCCACGATTTTTCCTTTCTGCGTTAGTAAAAAAACTTTCTATGCAAAAATTTCCAAAAGAAAGTTTGTATTTTATATGACACTTCCACTTTCATGTGAGTTTTAAATTTGGAGAAATGTGTATATTACAATAATCAACCAAAAAAACCTGATATGCTAATTCTATAGAAAAGTATCAATCATATGAACATTTCTAGATAAGAAAGTCTCGTTACCAAGAGTAGGGGGCTTAATATTAGCATTTTTGGATCAAATATGATAGGAAGAAATTGCTTAATTAAATTTCATTTCAGCCTTCAGAAGAAGCATAACCATTACCTGTATAGTTACGAGAGTATGAAAGAACAAAATTAACCATATATGATAGTTTTCCAAATCCTAGAATCCAATCATAATTTCAAAACCGGACAAAATGTCCATTATCAATTATCCAACACATATCATTCTCCACCAAATGTCAATTATTTACCATACCATGTTACATGTGTAAATCTTAGGTTCCACATTAAATGAAAAGAATAGCTAAATTGACACAGTTATATTTAGCTCGAATGATTTGGACCTAAAGAGTGTATGTTTTAATCATCAAATCTCAATCTAACTTCATCATTTAACCCATGTCAAAACTACTTAGATTATGAAATCTAAGACCACCCTCGCCTTTTGGAGTAAAAATGTTTTTCAAAGAGATTAAATGACATTTTTAAGCACTAGAAATAGATACCTAAAAAAGTTACAAATTTGTTCCACCTCATCAGAGATGAATAAAGGTATGGTTGTAGATTATGAGGAAGGCTCGTATTACAACTTTGAGTGAGAGTAAGATATGAGAATGAAAGGCTAATTTTATTTCCACAAGAGACCATATTAATCCTAAACATATAAAAACAAATTAAAGCACGTGATCACATGTGAGCTTTCAGATTCTTCAGATAACGAGAGTGTAATCATTAAATTATTTAACTACAAACATAATATCATAAAAAAACATCAAATGAGACACAAAATATCCATTGTAATCAAACTTGATAAGCTTTCTTGCATTATCCCTGACAACATCGATGATGCAAAGATCGAGTTTTTCCATTGCATGTTAACCAAGTGACTCCAAACACAAGAGGGGGTAAATTGTGATAATCTAGAAATAAAAAATATTTAAAATATTTTATTTAAAAATCAGTTTATATTAGTCCATTGGAGATCAAGAAGCAGAGAAGAGAGAAAAATTAATTCGAGAGGAAGAAAAAAATGATAGAAAATAACGAGAAAAAGTTAAATAGATTTTGTGAGGGAAAATCCTTATATACCATACATATGTGTGTTTTGATGATGTCAAAACGCAATCACGTGGAAGAATCGGTTTTTGGCACTCTTGCCACAAGACAAATGCATATCACATCTTTTATGTCTCTCTTGTGTGCATGTCATGTAAATCTAACTAGTTATATTGAGTCTAACATATTTGGTAGATCATAGGTTATGTATAAAAGTGTCGAAATCACAAAAATAAGCATTTTTGCAAAATAACAAGGTTTGAGTTGACCACTCCAGGGGTTCCGGTCGACTCATAGAAAGTGGATTTTCCACTGGTTGGCGCATGCCGACCTGTGGTCGACGCATAGTCTGTTGCCTTGACAAATCTGGGTTTCCTAGGGAGTTTCGGTCGACCGTTCGCTTCTTTTTCTGCATTTTTCTGTCTTTCCACTTATTTCAAAAAGTGGATATGTCTGTTACTTTTTGGCATACTATAAATAGATTTTTGCTCATTTTTATCAACAACAATTGAAACATTTGAGTCAATTGCATAAACAAGAAAAGTGAAATAGGTGTCATTAGTTCTCACCATCTTCATCTTCAACATTTCATAACACAACAATTCTTGTTGTGCATTGTGGTTTGTCTGAAGTGATAAGGTCTGAAGTCGTTGATTGGGAACCTGGTTTGGGTTGAGTTTTCTAGCAGGTTTTTCTTCAATAAAATGTTGAGGGTTTTGTCCTCCAAGATTAAGATAATTTGGGGGGGGGGGGGTTTGGTACGAATCTTCTCGACAAACATTCAGCTGAGCAAAGGTGATTGAGGAGCGGTGGGTTCCGTCAATCTAGTAGCGGTAATCGGTGAATTATTAAGGAGAGGTTCGGGTTCGATTAGTTTGTGTATGAGATCAGTCGGGCTGGGGTTTAAAGAACGTAAGGTTGTTCAACAAAGGGGCTGTAATTAGAGGTCTATCCACAACAATCGAAGGACTTGATTTGACTCAAATCAAGGAACAAGAAGAGAGAGCATCTTCAACAACAAGAGAGTTTGTTTGTATATTTGCTTGTCTATTTTTGTATAAACGTTTCAACTACAACAGGTGATATCTATAGTATATGAGCTCAATTCTATTGTTAGAATTAAGGGCAGACGTACCCCGAAGCGAGGACGGCGGGGGAACTGCCTCAACAAATCTTTGTGCCTTTTATTTTTTGCACTTTCATTTTTGCTTAATAATTGAGTAATTTTCGTACAAACAATTCTATCAAATTTAGTATTGGTTTGAGTAAGTGCTGAAAATTGTTTTTGACTCTAGTACAACATTTTATTGTACAAGGAAGTTAGAGCTACTTACTCAAGGCAAAACTCACTTGGAGTGCTACGCACGCCAAGTGTTTGTTAAATTGTCTAAACCAAAATTCTCTTGTGTTGTCCATATAATTTGTTGGCATTTTGAGGCATTTGAACTAGTCATACCAATTAGTGATATTAATCAATTGATAGTGTGACTAGTGTGGTGATTCTCTTTGCTCACTATCATATCCATAGGGTAGACGCATATTCGGTCTTCTAATAACGGTTCGTTATAGATGGTAACTTTTCCACAACCGCTTTCGCATATCAAATATTTTTAAAACCAATTTTTATTGGTAACGCTGACTAATTTTTTAATTGGGATCTATTCAACCCCCCCCCCCCCCTTTAGATCCGTGTAATCGTCTAACAAGTGGTATCAGGAGCATCAGTTCACTCTGTGCTTCAAGTATAACTTTGTAGAAAATGGCTAACGAACCTAAAGGGGCTTATAATATAGCTCTCGTTCTTAATGGAGAAAATTACAGTTATTGGAAGGATTGTATGTGGGTGCACATTAATTCCATAGATAGAAAAGTGTGGAATGTTATTCGCAATGGTCCAATAGAAATAACTATGACCAATGCGAATAATGAGATTGTTCCTAAGTTCGAAGCACAATGGACCGATGATGATGAAAAGAAATATAATTACGATTGAAAAGCCAAAAATATTTTGATCTCCTCATTAGGAGTTGATGAATATTATAAGGTTTCTCATTGTTTAATAGCAAAAGCTATGTGGGACTCATTACAAGTTGCCCATGAGGGAACCAATGATGTCAAGCTGGCGAGAATCAACACACTAACACAAGAGTTTGATCTCTTTTACATGGAGCAAGGGGAAACCATTGCGGACATGCAAAATAGATTCAATCATCTTATCAATAGATTGCATTCACTAGGTAGGCCAGTGGCCAATGATGTTGCTACTAA